TAAAATATAGCTAAAAATATTAAAAAACAGTAATGTCAGTAATGATTTGGGATCAAGATTGTTTTTGTTGTTTTTTTGTGGGCATTATTTAACATTTAAGGGTGAAAAAAATCATGGGAAAGGAATACATGAAAAAGGACAATAAATTGCCAAATTATCCCATATTACATGCAATTATGTCCCTTTATGCAAATTGAGAATAAATATTGTTAACCTAAAAGTGTTGCCGACTTGGTAAAATCTTATATTCTGCTTTTAAACAAATGAAATAATTATGGAGGGGGCCTGGGTTCTTTCTTTCACTAATAAAGCTAGGAAGTGGCCCTTTATATGAATCTACTGTGGGGTTGGTGCGACATAAAACCCAACAACAAAAACAAAAGAAGAAAGAAACAATGGATCCAATACTGATGCAATAAAATATATCAAAATGTATATTATATTTGATTGTGGTAAGCAAAACCTGCTATGATATCTATATTTTGATGAATATCACCACATAGTCATGTTATTAAATTCCACATGTGTTAAGCAATATGAAATAAACTACTTGATCACATTGCATAAATTTTTAATAGATCCCACTTTCCTAATTTTTAAATTCGCATTCTAGCCTTTAAGATTTGCTGTTTAAACTGTTATACATTGGTGATTTTTTTTTATTTTATATCAAATTTTTGGTGTACATTGTTTTTTGAACATGTGGGAATTTTTTATGCCACTGGCAGAATTAATGCCCAAGTAAAGTGGGGGGGGGGGAGGGGAGGGGTGAGTGAAATGATTATAGGTATGGCCACTTTCCAACAGCCTTAATGATGGGTTTTAATGCTTTAGTAATTGATTTTCTGCCTAGTTACCAAAGGCAGTGAGGTAAAAACTTAAAAAACTCCTTAACCGGAATGAACAATGTGGCTAAAAACTTTAATATTCTGCATGAAGCATTCCTAAGTGGACCATCTTTAAGTTTGTTCATAGCATGACCCTTGAGGTCAAATTTGCCAAGGACTCACAGTGGTGAATTATAAGGTCAAACTCTAAACCTTTTATGAATATATTTAAGCTACATTTAGAAATTTAAGGTTAAAGGTCAAATTTTCAAACCTTCATAATTTAACTTTTGTTTAAAGTGACATAATGTCCATCCAATTGTAAATGGGGAGTGTGAAGGTAAAAGTAAAATACCTATGTGACACACAATTTTTTTTATAAATATCCTTCTAAATTTATCAATAACGCTAAATTAATAAAAAAAAATTGTGCCAGATTTTTTTTATATATTATTGTATGGACAGTTTTAATATGATTTTGGTAAAAATTCTGTCATAATCAATTTATTTTGTAAGTCACCATTTATACTTGTTAAAATTTTAAAAAAATGTAAGTGCGTTTTATTTATATGTTCACTGGTTTGAGTAACCCTATATTTCATTGAACCAACTTATGCCCTTTTTAAAAAGAAAAGTTTGGGTAAAGTAAGGTGATTTTATGTATACGATACCATTCCTACAGTTCTGTTTTAGCGGTTTACATTACCTTTAAAGGGACCCTGTTCTTACCTATAACCAAGGAGCTGGTTAGGGTTTTCAAACCCTAGCGCAGTGCCCTGAAGGTTATTTCAGGTTTACAGTTAAAATAAATTAATTCGTTTAACTAATAGTAAAAAAATGAAAATAAGATAAGCATATAAGTAATAGAAAGAGCATCGAAACCGCGGGCTATTCTGATTTGTAGAGGGGGGTACCCCCGGTATTAATCAGTTCAGTGTGTTTTTAAATGTTCTTTTCTTCTTTTGTATCAAATAGTCAAACATAAAAACACGTTCCCCTGTTGTCACAATATGAAACCCCCCGGGAAAAAGTAATCAATGAAGGAGGCATCGAATTGATTATTTCTTGTCGCTTTCCCTTTCTCTACCGTTGAATAAGTTAAACCCCACAAAAATGAGCCCAATCAATGGGCATGCTTTTGAGTGCGGGTAACTAATACCTTTCCACTACCAGTTAACGCACTGTGCATGTATTATTGTATATGATTTAACTCTGCACATTTTCAACAGAAAGGGTCCCCAAACTATGATACAATTATCTTTTATAGTAAGGCCTCGATATCTGTAATGAAACACTTGGTATTCAATTTATCATGGCCTTAAATTTCCCATATATTCAATGGTTTACCTTTAATTTCATTTTTAATATGGGTAAATTTCAAAAAAAGTCTGTATTTATCATTTCTTTATGCAATGCATTGTACTAATTATTATTAGATACATATAGGATAATTGCATTTTTGTTTCACTTGCTGAAAATATATTACCTTCAGCTTTTATTTGACATTGGATCATTGTTTCGGTGTTAAAAAAATATTTAAGTATCAGGCAAAATAAAACTTAATGGAAAAACTGGTGTAAATTTGTTTACACATGAGATTTATAGATTAAATGAATTTTAGGAAATTTAAAAATGTAATATAATATAATGACTGACTCATAGACAAAATTATAGATTATCATTTCACCTTGAAAATGATCATGAGAGTGTTAAGAGAAAGACAGACCTTTGATAAAGATGGTAAAAAGTCAAGAGTCTCAAGAGTTGATAAATTTGATTAAAAATTGAACTTAACCCTGTTGATATAGCAAAGATAAAATGTAGAAACCACCTTGTCACTAAATATCATTATGAATTTAAGGGAAGATTTAAAGATAAAATATAATATAATGACTGACTCATGGACCATCAGTGGGGTCAGTCCCTGAGCCCCATCTTGCTACACCCTTGTCAACTATGAGTAACATTTTACCAGGAGTAGGGAATCTTTGTAATTCATAAACTTAGGTTGCATATACCATCCAGTCTCAATAATTGAAGTTAATGATGGTAAATGAGATTTTATTTAGACAAGTTTTATGATTGAGACAAGTGCCTACTATTTCATATGTTACAATGATAAAAGTTACTGAGACTTGACAATGGGTGAGCAAGGTGAAGTAATGATCTGACCCCCATGAGTGTCCATGGACTAAACAGCAAACAGTGCAGACAAAAATTAGACAGCCTGGAAGTGCAAGCTATTTTGGTCTGTACTGGTTGCATGGGTGATTACAGTTTCCACTAGCAGGGTTAAGTTTATTATGGTTTTCATTAATATCATACTGTACTTTTAAATAATTAAGTATTTCAAATAAAAATAAAACCTTGTATAAAGATACAAAGCCTTTTTTACAAAAAAGGGGACCCCCCCTCTAAAAAAAGAAAAAAAAAGAAAAATGAACACAAAAAAAAAACAACAAAAAAAACATGAGTGTTAAAATTTTATTTTTGCATCATTGATTGAAGAATTTTAAACTGAAGTTATTAAGTTGCTCACTGTGAATAGTTGCCTTTAACATCTGAAGGTTCAAGTCCTGAAAGGAACTTGGGATTCATACATGTGCACCCTCATAATATCCAGCTTGTGGACATACAGTTATTGTTCAATAGCCACTCCGGCCTGTTACACTAAACTGGTGATTTATACAGTGTCTATGTACAACCTTTCCTCCACTACCATCACAACAAGACAGGTATTATAATACTTGAGGGGACAAATATTTAGTACACCCTGTTGAAAACTTACTTCAACCATCAAAAATAATGAATTGAAAAGAAATGTTTTCATAAATTGTTTGCCTTTGCCAGCTATGTAAATCAACCATACACCCACTTTTCTCTCAAAATACATTTACTTTATAAATTTACCTGTGTCCTTCTTCTTTCTAATATACTGGCCACCTTCAACTAACTGAAGTTTACTGCCAGGTAAATCAATATTAAATCCATAATAAAACTATCAACTAAGTTAATAAACTAAATTCTTGCTAGTTCTTTTAACAACTCTTCACCATTTTAAATAAATAAATAAAAGATTAACTTACATTTATTTGCAGCCGCACTATAGTGGAGACAGTAAACTGAAACTTGATTTAAGCTACATATATATATCTTATCTATTCACGGAAACACATAGGTTTATCATGGTCTGATGGTTACTGGTAAGAAGGTTTAAGTCCACATGAACTTTATGTGATGTCTAGCTGTTTTACTTTTGAATTTTAATACCTGGCTAAATTTTTGCGATAAACTGTCCCATTCTTTGAATATGGAACAGTTTAATAGCCATTTAAGGGATTTTATCAACAAATATCAAAATAGTTAAACTGTATACTGGTAATACATGTACCGGTTTATAGAGTATCAATTAATTAATGGGACTACACAACAAGGTTTAAAGCTTAGGTATATTTATTGTGATATACAAAACATGAAAGGAATATTTTACATAAAAAGTAAAAAAAAAAAACAACTTTAACTTACCAATTAATTACATACTAATGTCTTTGTGTAACTTAAAGGTTTATTAGCTCACATCCGTTGTCCACACTTTGTTCATTAACACTCAAGTGGTCACATTTTGTTTCAATTGTCCTGAAACTTGGTTAGGATGTTTGTCTGAGTAATTATTGGGATGAGTGTCAATATGGGTCATCTCAGATGAAAACCTAGGTCACATGACCCAAAAATAATAAAAAAAATCTTGTTTACATTGTAATCGCTACTAGCTGTCTCAGCACAAATATCGTGAAAAATTTGTCATAAAGGTTGTTTGGTTGATTATGAATTTTAGCTCAAGTTTGAATATGGTTCATCTGGTGTTCAAACCTATGTCACACGTCAAAAATACCCAAAAAAACAACCTTTTTAACATTTTCATCCCAGATATCCTGGAAATTTATCAGAACAGTTGTTTTGATGATTTTTGGTTAAAAATTAAATATGGTAATCTGGGTAAAAAATAGGCTAATAGGTCACAGAGCCGGACTATTGAATGCCTTATTAACACTCTAGAGGTAACATTTTCAACTCAGATTGAGTTGAAATCTGTCAGAAAGGTTGCAGCTGTCAACTTCAAAACATTTGCCCCTCAACACTGTGGTTTCGATTCTCACCAGGTTTTTGGATTCTTTTCTTTCATGTGAGAATTATGTCCAGTTAGCTTCACCCAACATCGGTGGTTCTGCTCAGGTGCCAGTGTCAATGATTGAAATGTTGAGTCAGGTTGTAACAGCTTTTGCACGGTGACATTCCTTGATAGAATGAGCATGTGATCTGTTGTAAAAGCAAAGTAAAACATTCATATTGATTTTATGATGCAGGTGAACTACCAAAAACAGATGATTTAGTGATATTACCTGTAGAGTCCACCATATTGGAAGAGCAGCCTGACAAAGTGGTAGAAGGTATAAATAATTGGGAGTCCTACTACAAGTGGCGAGGTTTCAGGTTGGATTCCCCAATTGCTGTCCTATTGCATTGGCCTCTTACCATATTCTACATCATCAAATACTGTTTACCTAATGACAGTAAGTTTGTTTAATTTCAATAATGTATGAAAAATTTTAGTTTGTTTTGTGAAATTATGTAGAATAATTTTCAAGCATAATTAATCAGTATTTGAGGTAACAGATGTTAAAATAGGAAATGTTATAAGTGTAAAAAAACAACTGTTTATTGTATTTAGAAAATTAGATTCACATGACAGAAAGGTTTACTGTCATGTTGATGATGTGCCACTGCCCCTTGCATAATCCAGGCCTACAAACTGTGTAAGTAGATGCACCTTTATGAATTCTACCAAGTATTGGGAGTAGTATTGGCCTTGATGTAGTAAAGTACAGTTAGTACTTACTTTAAGTCAACTATGTCCTGAGTTATCTTAAAATTATCACCATATTTAGTTTGATTATTATTCAGAATATGTTTTAGTCTGATCATTTAGGAAGCTACATAGATAAGCTTAAAGACACACTTTCATGTATGTTTCTGAACATAAAAAGTTTTAAGCGATGAGTGTTAAGTTTCTTGCTCAAGGAAACAAAGACTTGGCTCTAACTGGGTTTGAGCCCATGCAGCCAGGAATCCTTATTTTGAAAAAAAATTATGTAGTCGTAAGGATGTTAAAAATTTACCTTTGCCACATCTCTGTACAATTTATTTCAATATAGCATTTAGACACATTGACAGTGTTTGAATTTCAAAGCAGAATACATGCATGTATATAATAGAATAAGATACATTATGCTCAAGTTTGGTATTCAAGTATACTGAAAATTGTTTCACAGTCTATTATAGATGTTAAATAAACATCTTTTGAGAGCATACAGTACACACGGTGATAGGGCGATTACCACAACTTTTCCGCGCAACGTCAAAATATCATCCTTCTGACCGAGACACCGTATATTTCTGGACAAAATATTAATGGCGGGATAAACAAATTCCTGGTAATAGCTAACAAAATATCTTACTGCTGGACATTGCAAAATTTTTCCAATTGTTTAAGTATTCCATCGAATTTTTGAGACAATTTATTGTTAATCTAGCACAATACAATTCACACAAAAACACATACTTCGAAGAAATAGTGTTTACAAAAGATCGTGTGTACCTCAACATGACTCGCACTTGTCACAAAAACATGTGTTATAACGACGATGTCTTTGTTCTATGACCTAACGAGCTTGTATATTTATTATGGTTAACCCTAAGTTCAAGTTCCATACAAAATTGTGTGTTTCTATCGTAAATTTCAAGGAATATTTGTTGAAAAATGGCCTACTGACCCGAATATTGGAGCACCGTACAACACTAAATTCAAACACCGCATTCTTTTTCCGTTAGACCGATAAATACTGGAACCGTCTTCTTTTGAATTATACAATAATCTTACAAATATGTTTTATAATAACTTTTATTTGATGAAAGTTTGATGAAAGATTGTTTACTTGCTGTTATGTTATGTTGCTGTTATATCATACGTTATGTTATGGAAAATTTCTGAAGGTCTGATCTGTGTTAATACTACCAATTAGATAAGTGCAATGGTATCTATATATAGATAAGGATGTGTTTTCCTTTTCGAACTTATTCAAACTGATAAACCCCACATGGAAAGATTGAAGTTCTTGGCAGACTATACTATCAAACAACATCGAGAAACAAAAGGAATGAACTATTTGTTAATGGGAATTTCTTATTGCATACTAATTTGATAAAGTTGCAAAAGTCATAACACAAATATTCATGGTGTAGTTTTTGCAGGAACCCGGGCAATATTTCCATAATCTCTTCTGTCATCGTTTCCAATGTGCTTTTTTTTAAACAATCTTTTGCGAAAGTTTGACTTCATATTCTTTTCTTATGTGGTGCGTTACGCATATCGTCCTGAAATACAGGGAGGTGCTGATTCATTGGCGTACTGCTAATATCAGATGACTTAGTTGGGCGCTCTCCAGTTGCTGCAGTATCTGCAGCTTTGCGTATTTCGCACGTTGCTTTAGCTTGTTCAGACATAGGTTTGAACGTCTTTTTTTTCTAAAAGCAAACATTAATATCAACAATCAACGGTGCTAAAAAGACAGAAAAATGCAGTGATTTTAAGGAGGAATAATGCGGTGCCCTAATCTTATGATTGACAAAGTTGTGCGGTGCCTTAAAATACACACGTGGAAACATAAAAATCATACCAAATATACAAAAAACGGGTTATTTATGTATTGTAACTTGTTCATACGACAATTATGTACATATTTATATTGTATTTTGACCAGTTATATGAACTGAACGGACTAGAAATACGTTATAATTCGTAATCAAAGAAAGATTTTTTCAGTATGCCCTAAATGTTTTCACTATCCTGACTTAATTAATAAAGTATTTTGCATGTAGTAAGGATAAATAAGTTTCAAATTAAATGGCACATTCGATGAAAAAGAAAAAATGATGATTTTACCTTGTTTTGAGCAAATTATATGCTGTTTTTGTCTCGGTTACAGGCTTGCTGTCCATTTTGTACCACAGAAATATACGGTGTCTCGGACAGAAGTAAGATATTTTGACGTTGCGCGGAAAAGTTGTGGTAATCGCCCTATCACCGTGGTACAGAAGATGTACTAAGTATTTTAAGTATACACACTAAAGGCAACATAGTGTCATTACAGAAAACTTAACAATTTTGAAAAAAAAATCTGTCATTAAAAGTGTTTAACCCAAAGATGAATATAGTTAATATCTTTCATCAGTTAACATTTATCTGGGTTATTAGATATTTCTTGTATTTCACTAGGTTGTGTCTATGTTGGACAAGACCATATGCTAACTTAATTGATGTTACAGATGCAGATTGGTGGGAAGATTTAGATGAAGGAAACATTCTAGTGGACATTGTTGGTGTTGAAAGAGAAGTGGAAATACTTGCAATATTTAAGGTATTATCATTATATAATATTATTATTAATTAATAGGTAACTATATGTCAAAAGTAGTGTTGAGAATGAATTGACCTGTAGAGTTAGTGATGTGGGATATGGCCTCAAAAATATTGATACTTACACTAAAATAGGGAATCGGCCTCAAATTTGGTTGAATTGAATTTGAGTAGTGAGTACAACTTTTGCAGCATGGCCCTCTGTAAATCAATCACCTCTTCACATCGACAGCATTTCTCACCTCCAAAAGTAGGACTTCATAGAGAATTTAGCCACTATAGAGAAACACCTGTCAAAAGCAACTTAAATCTTTTCCAAACGCAACTAAAACCATGGGTACTGTAGAGATTCTTACTTAGACCACAAAACCTTGTTAGGTCATTTTTGACCTATTGACCACATCAGCTTTGGCAGGAAGATTGCAATAACCTCTATTGATTTTAACAAATGGGACAATTTTCTTTATACATACTTTACCTTGTCTTTTTACTTCATGTTTTATATAAAAGGCCTCTGTAAGCCATATTGCATCTGGCATTAAATCATTAAATTTTGTATCTTGCCTTTAAGGTTTCAAATTTTGCCAAAATGATAAATTCTGCCATGTCAGGAAGCTGTCCTGCTAGATTAAACCTTACCTTGCTAAATATCTTAGATGGCATTTTCTATCTTTCAATTCAGACAAAACCATTTATCATTTTTACAGACAAATTTGAAATATGAACTGACTTAATAGTGCAGATCATGATCAGATGGTAATTACTGATTAAAAAGCAAACCATACAGGCCATAATCAGACCGCACAGATTTGCAAGCTGATCCTGGTCTGGCCTGGTCAGTGCTGGTCTCATTGGAAGATCCAGTCACCACTACCAGGCTAAGAGTTAAAGAAAGTTTTGATTTTACCGAGGTTAAAAGTCTGTGCCTTGATGTTATATATAAGGAGCTTTGAGATTTTCCTCAACCAGTAAAGTTTGAAAGTTGTTATATGTGGTAGACAATGTCAGAATGACTTAAAATTCAACAGGAATGGAACTTTTTAAATTTTGCTTAGAAGTTTATGTGAGACAAATCTTTAAAACTATGATTGAAGTTGTATTGGTCATCAATTATTTATCATTTATAAATTATAATTAGCAAAAAGTATCACTGATACGTTATAATGAATAAAAAGAATATTCTATACACAGGAGCTTGGATACTTGTTACCTGACTGTACATTAGACATACAGATGTATGGAAATGAAATCTCTAAAGAAGTAGATGGAGAAGTTTATGAAGAAAACAACGTAAAGATAGAAGTGATTCGAGGATTGTATCACAGAAAATCATCTACGGCACGTAAACCTCATGTTGTCATAGGTAATGCAATGCTTAAATGACAGATGTTAATCATGTTATACAATCAAACGTGTATTAAGCGACCGCACAAGGGAAACACCCAAAACGGTTGCTTAATGAAACGGTCTCATAAGACAAAGCATTATTTAAATGTCAAAATATATAAATGACATCTTTCTTTTGTGGTGGGAATGTTTTTCAACTTCATTTATGTAAATGTTGAATAATTAGAACGCTCCGATAATCTAAATGGATGCTAATGTAAAAAATAAGATTGTGATATTTATTGACAAAACAGTTTTGATCCATTACGTACATGTTTGACATTTTTTCAGAATTTTTAGCTCACCTGAGCATGCTCAGGGTGAGCTTGTAGGATCGATGATTGTCCCTCGTCCGTCCGTCGTCCGTTCACATTTTGTTGTTAACACTCTAGCGGTCGCATTTTTGTCTCAATTATCATCAAACTTGGTCAGGATGCTTATCTAGTTGATAGCTCGAATGAGTTCGAACATAGGTCATCTCGGATGAAAAACTAGGTCACAAGAGCTAAAAATAGAAAAACCTTGTTACAAAAGTCATTGTCAGCTTTTATTAGCTCACCTGAGCACAAAATTTCAGAGGTGAGGTTTTGCGATGGCAGTTTGTCCGTCATTTCCTATTGAGTATTTTCCACATTGCTACAAATGTTATTGTCAGCTTTATTGAGTTACATCAGTTTTAATTTGCATTGTGCACTCCCTTTTAGTTTTTCTGAAATAAGATAAAATAGATGTGTATGTGGTTCTACTGTCTGGTTATATATATATTTAAATCTTTCTTGCACAATCTTTGATTTCATGCTGTTACTTAATTTGCTGAATTTATTTAATTTATATGCCCTGCTTTAAATTTAAAACATTCCATTTGAAAAGTCATAGATTTATACATCAAAATGAATAAATTGAGCTACCAACAGTATAGAGCCTTGCCAGATGTAAGGATAATATTCAAACTGGCTTAGCTCAATACTGCAGCACAGGTAAAAACTAATCACTTTTCGTTATAGAAGGACTAAGGACTTTCTGAGCCGACTGTCGAAGATAAGTCATTTGAGCAAATCATGATTTTCTTCAGGTGAGCGATATAGGGTCATCATAACCATTTTGTGGAAGAAATTTTAAAAATCTTTGAATATTGTCACTTGTCAAATATTGTCACTTGTCAGTGCTTGCCCTAAAAATTATAATGAATTCTTAATACATGTATGTTGATTCATGTATAATGATTCCATTATACAAGCTGAATTATCGTGTCAACATCCTAAACAAAACACAACGTAAGCTATTGTATGTAATGAATACAATTTTTTTTTGTATATTTCAGGGTTCAATGCAGGTCTAGGAGCTTATCAGTATTGGTCACAAACTTTAGTGAAATTAAGGGTATGTGTAAATTCATAAAATTATTGTAAGATCTTATTCATTTTCATCAAATTATTGCAGTGTAGAAAAAATTCTGTAAGCATAACTGGATAAGTAAAAGAGCTGCATTAAACATTGAAATGGAACATGGTGTATACTTATTATTTAAATATTGTTATATATAACAAAAGTTTAGCATGTACCTTTTAATTCATCGGCATGGCTATGAGCGTTGACACAGTATACAAATTTCAAGTAATCACGAACCCTGATTATTACATATGAATACCTGGATGAACCTATGTCTCGTGATAGTTTGTAGCTTTAGTTTTGTTATATTCTTTGTATGAAGTGAATTAATTAAATCATAGTTTCAGTAGTGAAATAATTTTACAATATAATTCTAGACAAAAATTACATTTTAAAGATGAATGACATTGCATTTAAAGACTTTTCAGGGTTAGATATTGATTCTTATTATGAAAAATTGAAGTACATTTATGATTAACTTACCATGTACATGTAAATGATATGAGTTTATAAGATTGCAAAAATAAAATATTTATATTGCAATTTCATATGCATTTCCTTTTTCATTCCTTAAACTATTTTGACTCTCACTTGTACAAATATGCAAAAAACCTTTTTAATCCGGAAACCTTTCTAAACTGAACTTTTTTCTGGTCCGAACAGGTTCGGATTAGACAGGTTCCACTGTATCGTCGGGTCATGTGTTTTGACGCTCATCTATTTTGACGCCATTTTTGTTTTGACCTAAAAAATGACGAAAACGACCTCGTATGACGTCATAATTTGCTGACTGCACTGCAAGCATGTATTTACAACGTATAACTAAAACATGTGGAAAGACAGAGATATTTCACTGAAAATACTTCACCTTTATCATATGTACTTATTTTTTTCACCTTTTTACTAATGCAAATTCAATTGATGTTTATGCAAGCCAAAATTTTGCAAATATAGCCTTTGTGAAATCTTGACCTGCCCTTTTCTGTTTTTATCCTCCATTTTAAAATGGCTAATGAGTGTCATGTGACCAAAACTTTGCAAAGTGTCCTTAATATTCACTGTATCATAAGGTGCACAGCTTATATTGTTTGAAAACGTTAATTGGTTTTTAATTGATACTGAGTAAAATTCATAATGGATTAATTATTGTATATAAAGTTTAAAAAAGAAAGAAAAAAATCATTTTTCAAATAAACATATACATATCTTTACAACATCATTCATTTTAGATATATTTTTAAGCCCTTTAAGCCAAATACAGATGCTATTCATCAAGATTAATGGTAAATACATTCAAGGTTAAAGAGACAGGTGCACCTAATAAGACCACTGCCAGGGTGTATGACATTCCTAAATAATGGATAGTTTTATATGAAATATATTATAATTTTAAGTTTTCACGATGTTGTTACATTGCAGGTTTGCTCATTTAAAAACTTCTTTTGCTGTTCATACTTCATTACAGTGAAATATCCTTTTAAAATAACCACCCAATGAAAAGGCGTCATTTCATATGACTGTAAACAACAATGGATGCCTCCACAGTCTGTTTAGTTAAGTACAAAACTTAACTGATTTTGAATTTTAACAAACATAAAAATGGTTTGCAGTGATTAACAACATGCCATAGTTACTTTATATTGTATATTATTTAATGATCAGGTTCAATATAAAGAAATGCACTAGTTAAACAGCTTAAGGGCGTCAAAACTAATGACTATAGGATAATTATATTTCTGTGATATTGTATATTTAGCCATCACATTACTTTTTATAAAATTTTTCGATATGTTTATTTCAGACACAGAAGACCCCGGCTTATTTCACTGACTACTGTCAGTATAGTTGTGAATGTGCTCACAGCCCGGTTGAAGGGCTTGGACTAGGGACTGTTTCCGATCCAATCATCAACCCATTCAGAAGTCCCATTAGAAAACTAGCCGCGGAGAATGACATGCCCTGGTACAGCAATGGATTTATATATCATCTCCTCTACCCTTGATGATTAAATAATACTCACTTTAATATTACACGGTGCTACAAGTAACAAGTTACATGTGCGGCTACGAGTGTTTTTAACAATGCTGTTGATTTGTGTTGAAATGAAGAGGCACAAGTATTCATTCATTCCAACATGGATTGCATTCTTTTCCTTGTTGGACAAGAAAGGAGATCTGAAGTGCATTTCACTGCAATTATTTCAGGATAATTGAAAAAGGAATGCCCGCATATCTTATGACATATATAAGATAACATGTTAGTTGATATAAGACACTAAGTAAATTACTAGTCTACTAAATGGCAGTATTTCAAGTCTATATCATAGCCCGAAATGTTGTTAATGATATTTCGATTAGTCTTCTTTTTATGAGCATATCTGAATTAATTTTTTTAATTAAAGTTATTTTTGTATAATTTGTTGTCTGGATGTTTTTGTAGCTCACCTGTCACAAAGTGACATGGTGAGCTTTTGTGATCGCTTCTTGTCCGGCGTCCGTAAACTTTTACTTTAAACGACATCTCCTCATAAACCACTAAGCCAATTTCATCCAAACTTCACAGGAATGTTCCTTTTGTGGTGACCTTAAATTAATAGTAAAGACTTTAATTCCATACAGAACTCTGGTTGCCATGGCAACCAAAAGAAAAAAACTTTAAATATCTTCTTTTAAAAAACCCAAAGAGCTGGAGCTTAGATATTTGGCATGAAACATGTTCTACTGGATGTCTACCAAGTTTGTTCAAATAAGAGCCCTGGGGTCAAATTAGGCCCCACTCCGGGGGTCATTGATTTTCCTTATATGTGTATAGCAAAAGCTTAAAAAATCCTCTTTTAAAAAACCCAAGGAGCTAGAGTTTAGATATTAAGCATAAAACATCTTCTTGTGAGTGTCTACACAGTAAGTTCAAATAAAAGTCAAAATTGGCCCAACTCCAGGAGGGGTCATTGTTTTTCCCTATATGTATATTATAATAAAAACTTAAAAAATCTTCTTTAAAAAAACCCCCAAAGAAGTAGACCTTAGATATTTAGCATGAAATATCTTCTTATGGGTGTTTACCAAGTTTTTTCAAATAATAGCTCTTTGGTTAAAATTTGCCCCGCTCGGGGGTCATTGATTTTTTCTTATATTTGTATAGATAAAACAAAAAAAAACCTTCTTTCAAAAAATCCTTATAGCTAGAGTTTAGATACTAAGCATAAAACACCTTCCAGTGAGTGTCTACCAAGTTCTAGTGAGTGTCTACCAAGTTTGTTCAATAGCCCTGGGGTAAAAATTGGACCCGCTTGGGGAGGGGGGTCATTGTTTTTCCCTATATATGTATATTAAAAAACTTAAAAAATCTTCTTTTAAAAAAAACAACAAAGGGCTAGAGCTTAGATATTTAGCATGAAACATCTTCTAACGGGTGTCTGCCAAGTTTGTTAAAATAAGTGCCCTGGGTTAAAATTGGCCCTGCCCCTGGGGTCATTGATTTTCCTTATATGTGTATAGCAAAACTTAAAAAAAAAACCCAAAGAGCTAGAGTTTAAATAGTAAGCATGAAACATCTTCTAGTGATTGTCTGCCAAAAAAGTTCAAATAAAAGCCCTAGGGGCAAAATTCATTTTAAATTGCCCCCATTCCAGGAGGGGGGTGGGGTCATTGTTTTTCCCTATATATGTATAATAAAACTTAAGAAATCTTCTTTTAAAAAACCAAAGGGATAGAGCTTGGATATTTAGCATAAAACATCTTCTAATGGGTGTCTACCAAGTTTGTTCAAATAAAAACCCTGGGGTTAAAATTGGCCCCGCCTCGGGGGCCTATATACAGGTGAGCGATTTCAGGGCCATCATGGCCGTCTTGTTTAGTAAATCACAAAGACCTTTACCTTGGTAATAATTATATTACTTTAATCTGAGATACATGTACATGTGTATTACTTGATAACTTTAAAGAAAAATGAAAAAAATAAATGTCTATAAGATACATATTAAATATATTTGAATTTACCCACATTAAAATAGTGTACAGGATTGAATATATGGGGAAAAGAGTTTGGTATATAGGAGGATAGGGGGGGTGGGGTGACTCAGAACAGTGTGTGGTATACTTGGGATTTTGTTTGTGCCAATAATGCATTAACAAATGTTTGCTAAGATATACCAGTTGTAAGTTGTAATTAATGATACATAGATGATTTTGTTGTATCTGTCGTATTATTTTACATTATCTGCATTTACTGGTTTATTTCGTAACCTTCATATGCCAAAATATAGAAATATGACTTATGCAAGTATTAGGTAATATTCTGAAGAAGTTTTTTTCCTTTTCATTATTTGTATTCTTCATTTATTTACAAGATTGTTAAGATGTTTGTTTGTATCATCTGGAACATTGTATATAGACTGTTATAAAATTTGAATGTTGATGTTGTGTTTTTATTAAAGATCTAGGAGCTACGAACAGTGTTAAGGTCTGAATAAAACTATATGTTATAAGATATGTTATGTTCTTTTTTGTAGGGTCGGTTTGTACCCTTAAGCTAGTGGTATTGACTACATCAATGCTGTTCTTGTGGCATCGTCGGATACCCACGATTGATAAACATGTCACATAACATGCAATCAACCGTGGGTAAAATGAATCGATTTGCGTCGATATACAGCAACAGGTGCGTAAAATATCTACCAATGACATCGCGTTTAACAAATCTATATTCTTCAGCAGCGGAGGTAAAAAACAATAAGAAACAAAATGGCAGCGCCCACGGTTAAATACTGTTGCACGTGTTTTGCTAAAATCAATGTCAAAAACTATCGCCAAATCAGTTCTTCTGCAAGCAGATATCAATCAGAAAGGAAAACATCACGCTGTAAAAGTAAATTATCTATACTTTCTTGCTGAAATCGTTTAATTTTTCGATGTTGAACTTTTCACGTCGTCTATGGTTGTCGCAATATTGTTTGTAATACCGAACGTCGTACAGAACGAGCGTTTTGATTGGTTTTAATCGCCTCATGAAATCGTGAGGCAGCCAATGAAATAGCTGCCTTTGACACACCCCTAATCGACTGAATATCGGCAAAAAATCCCACGGTAGATAAATGTTAATGGTTCGGCCGTGGGTATCCGACGATGGTGGTACTCATAAGAACGGGTGCCAAAATGTTTTATAACACTCATTATAATAATATCCAACATATAACATTGCAATCTTAAGTCTTCTTGATAAGAAAAGTGTATTTGTTTTTGTTTCTTTAAAACCTGAAAATATGGCATTGCAGAAATGAAGTATAAAATGTAATGACCATTGAGTTGTACAAGTAAATGTAATTTAAATGTGAAGTTTTGTACAAAGGGCTTGGTTCACTTTTGGCCAAGTTTGACTTTGTCAAAGAATTGACTCAAACCTAAATATTTATGAAAGCATTATGTCCAACATTGTAAAACACCCTTTGGTTTAAACATCATTATGTCCAACATTGTAAAACACCCTTTGGTTTAAACATCATTATGTCCAACATTGTAAAACACCCTTTGGTTTAAACATCATTATGTCCAACATTGAAAACACCCTTTGGTTTAAACATCATTATGTCCAACATTGTAAAACACCCTTTGGTTTAAACATCATTATGTCCAACATTGAAAACACCCTTTGGTTTAAACATCATTATGTCCAACATTGTAAAACACCCTTTGGTTTAAACATCATTATGTCCAACATTGAAAACACCATTTGGTTTAAACATCATTATGTCCAACATTGTAAAACACCCTTTGGTTTAAACATCATTATGTCCAACATTGTAAAACACCCTTTGGTTTAAACATCATTATGTCTAACATTGTAAAAACACCATTTGGTTTAAACATCATTATGTCCAACATTGTAAAAACACCATTTGGTTTAAACATCATTATGTCCAACATTGTAAAACACCATTTGGTTTAAACATCATTATGTCCAACATTGTAAAACACCATTTGGTTTAAACATCATTATGTCCAACATTGTAAAACACCCTTTGGTTTAAACATCATTATGTCCAACATTGTAAAACACCCTTTGGTTTAAACATCATTATGTCCAACATTGTAAAACACCCTTTGGTTTAAACATCATTATGTCCAACATTGAAAACACCCTTTGGTTTAAACATCATTATTTCCAACACATTGTAAAACACCTTTGGTTTAAACATCATTATGTCCAACATTGAAAACACCCTTTGGTTTAAACATCATTATGTCCAACATTGTAAAACACCCTTTGGTTTAAACATCATTATGTCCAACATTGAAAACACCCTTTGGTTTAAACATCATAATGTCCAAAATTGTAAAACACCCATTGGTTTAAACATCATTATGTCCAACATTGTAAAACACCCTTTGGTTTAAACATCATTATGTCCAACATTGTAAAACACCCTTTGGTTTAAACATCATTATGTCCAACATTGAAAACACCCTTTGGTTTAAACATCATTATGTCCAACATTGTAAAACACCCATTGGTTTAAACATCATTATGTCCAACATTGAAAACACCATTTGGTTTAAACATCATTATGTCCAACATTGTAAAACACCCTTTGGTTTAAACATCATTATGTCCAACATTGTAAAACACCCTTTGGTTTAAACATCATTATGTCTAACATTGTAAAACACCATTTGGTTTAAACATCATTATGTCCAACATTGTAAAACACCATTTGGTTTAAACATCATTATGTCCAACATTGTAAAACACCATTTGGTTTAAACATCATTATGTCCAACATTGTAAAACACCATTTGGTTTAAACATCATTATGTCCAACATTGTAAAACACCCTTTGGTTTAAACATCATTATGTCCAACATTGTAAAACACCCTTTGGTTTAAACATCATTATGTCCAACATTGTAAAACACCCTTTGGTTTAAACATCATTATGTCCAACATTGAAAACACCCTTTGGTTTAAACATCATTATTTCCAACATTGTAAAACACCTTTGGTTTAAACATCATTATGTCCAACATTGAAAACACCCTTTGGTTTAAACATCATTATGTCCAACATTGTAAAACACCCTTTGGTTTAAACATCATTATGTCCAACATTGAAAACACCCTTTGGTTTAAACATCATAATGTCCAAAATTGTAAAACACCCATTGGTTTAAACATCATTATGTCCAACATTGTAAAACACCCTTTGGTTTAAACATCATTATGTCCAACATTGTAAAACACCCTTTGGTTTAAACATCATTATGTCCAACATTGAAAACACCCTTTGGTTTAAACATCATAATGTCCAAAATTGTAAAACACCCATTGGTTTAAACATCATTATGTCCAACATTGTAAAACACCCTTTGGTTTAAACATCATTATGTCCAACATTGAAAACACCCTTTGGTTTAAACATCATTATGTCCAACATTGTAAAACACCCTTTGGTTTAAACATACTTTAAGCTTGATTGCTTAACAAGTTCTTGCAACTTATATTAATCACTTGAGTCCACTTCCTGGAACCAACCAGCACTGTTGTCATATGAAGAAAAATGGCCGTGACCATATTTGGAAAGCTCTTGAATGTCAAGGAATTACATGTACGCTTCCAGTCACATATAAATATATATTATTTTTATGTAATTCATATAATTATATTAACACAAAGTTCATAAGAATAAACATTTTCAAGTAACCAAAGACATCATAGAGTACATGTTTGACCCAGCTGTAAATCAGTAACATCTTGCAAATTTCCGTATGGGTGTGAAAGACCATTATGATATAATTTGCCATAACCTCATTAGATGACAATTTTGTCCTTCCCTTTACTTTCATAACTTTATCAAAACTACTTTTTTCCAGGGGTAATGTATTTCAATAACAACACAGTACATGTGTACTTGGGTACAAAATGATTAATCGTTGTTTATACAGTAGGAAAATGTTTTTATTACCAACATAAAGAATTTTTATTTATCACGTAAATTTTTACTATGTAGTCTAACGTGATGTCACGTGGTATTTCTTTCGGTCCTGGAAATGAATATCCCGCCCCCGTCAATAATTTTAGCGTTTTAGTATAATTTTATGTTAGTGTTCATCCGTGCTGTTCTACAAAAATTAGAAACTTCGACAGGAGTGATAGTGACAGGAGAATGTTTCTAATTTCTGTAGAACAGCTACGGATGAATACTAACATATTTAGTGTCAAGCTTTATTTGTCTTTTGTCATGTCATGACTATTTTTACGAACGCGGTTTTATGAAGTTCTATGAAAAATAGAAGGCGACTATGGACGGAATTTGATATAGTATCGAATTTTGTTTTTCTATGAAAATTAAGTGACAGATTTTTTAAGAAATACAACGTTTTTATTGGATGGCAAATAAAGCTGGACACTAAATCTATATCGTCCGCTTTTTTCCTCTTTGCCTATATTGTCAGCGTTTTCTCTACTGAGTATATGTTTATATTGTTCATACAATATTGCTTCCTATTAATTTCATTGAAAAAGTATGAAAGCCAATTATTCACCATTTTTTTAACTTTACAAATACTCGATAAATCATCAATCAGCTATGTCGTCCGCTTTGTCAGTGTTTTCTCTGTATGTTAATATTGTCCGCTTTGTCAGCGTTTTCCATATATGTTAATATTGTCCGCTTTGTCAGCTTTCTCCCTATATGTGAATATTATCCGCTGAGGACGTCCGCGTTTCATAAGAAAGCGTAATGTTCTAGTTCTCTCCCGTGATAAAAATCAATGGCGAGCGGTGAAAAAATACATTCAAATGTAGAGAAATATGTTCTAGTTCTATCCCGTGATAAAGTCACCGATGAGCGGTGAAAATTTACATTAAAATGTAGAGAAATATATATTACACTTTAATTAGTGTTTACATAAACTTGATATCGAGCTAATATGCCAAATTCTATGAAAAATATTTTGATATTGTATCGAAAAGTTTTTTTTTACATAGTTTATCTAAAATTATTACATATAGATTTTTTTGGGGCAATTTCACTTTCGACCATTCGTTTAATTAACAGTTCATTCCTTAACATCTCAAAATGACAATGTTTTTAGTTTTCGAGAAACAGGTAGAAGCCATTGCTCCTTTTATAACACCAAAGAACATGGTTGCAAAACTGATCACTCAAAATCAATCTCCTTTATTTACCCTGCCTGATCGTAAAAGGCGACTAAATTACATCCTATGCAACTCTTAGCTCCAGCAGATGAGATGGTTTTTACCCCTGGTGTGGATTAAAGATTATAACAAAATCATCTTTCCTGTTTCGGCGCCATATGACCTAAACTGTGTTGATGCGCCGTAGAACCAACCAAACCATAACGTTTATTTACTGGCAGGTTTTTTACTTACCTTATCCATTTGCCCCTCTCTTTTTAAGGCCAGCAGACCTTTAACTACACTCCCTCAGCAGCTAACTGAATACGGTAGTGGAACATTTGACCGATGCGCAGGAGAGTAGGCCGGACATTGCTCACACAACAATTAAATAATGAACATCATTATTCATGTATGAAGATACGCTATATATTGGGGTTGCTACATCTACATCTTATTGTATATATTCACTAATGGTTAATGTATTTCCTATAGTTGGTGTTATTTCTATGGTTCATTTCTTTCATTTATCATTTTATCATAATTGTTTATTTGTCGGATTGTGGTTTCCCTGCGTCATTGCCATTTCTTGCGTGTAGGTAGTGCGATGAAACAATAAACATTTTATTTATTTTAAATATTTGTATAGCTACTTTGCCACAAAGAATTTAAAATTGTTTACGAGATTCGAACTAATACCGATGAAGTGAAAAGGATTCCTAATCATTGCCATCAACTAGTCATGGAAGGCCACATCGTCGGATACATTTATCAGATTACATGTTATGTAACATGTTAATCAACCGTGGATATCCGACGATGAGAAGGCCAGTGAAGTTTTTTTTTTCTTCCAACGTAGAATATATCTATATTGTATCATAGTTTGGAGACCTTTCTGTTGAAAATGTGTCAGGGTTAAATAGTATACATGCACAGTGCGTTAACTGGAGTGCGGGTATTAGTTACCCGCACTCCAGAGCATGCCCATTGATTGGCTCATTTTTGCTGGGGTTTACATATTGTGACGACAGAGAAAGGGAAATCGACAGAAATTCATATTCAGATGTTCGTTCATTGGTTCATTTTTGTCGGGGTTTCATATTAAGACAACAGGGAACGTGCTTTTATGTTTGACTGATACAAAAGAGAAAGAACACCAAAACACTCGGCAACCTGATTTATACTCGGGGGGCTACGCCCCCTCGTACAAATCAGATAGCCTCGTGTTTCGGTGCTCTTTCTATTACATAGCGAGCAAAAGGTAACTATGAACATCCTGTGAAATAACGCGTGACAGCTTGTGAATACATACATGGTACATGTTGAAAACATAAGGTTAATTGATCACTCATATAAGCTATGTTTAAAGTCAGGCATGTGTATAAAGGCCATCCAAAGGAGAGACCGAACATGATCTTAAAAGACAAGTGGTCTTTATCCGAAGGTTACTATGTTTTATTTGATCAATGAAGGTTTTTGAAGAATGGTCTTTGAATATGGTATTTCTATCGCTATCCCTTTCTCTGCCGTAAACCCCAGAACAAATGAGCCAATCAATGGATATGCTCTGTGCACTTAGCATGTATACTCGTATATGTATGCGATTAAACTCTTGACACATTTTCAACAGAAAGGTCCCCAAACTATGCCAAATAAAGTTATTAAAATGTCAATTTTATTTTCACCTGAAAGTCAACAGATAACATCTTAACCAGCTGTTTAACGGCGACAGTTGGTACATACATATACTTAGTAAAATATATCATTAGCCATCTTGACTGGTTTTTTTATCGTTAAAGTGGACCTGGCCGCTACGTCACTCTAATAATCCTAACTGAGCAATTTTAAGATCCATGGATAACCCTGAATAAAACTGTTCAAGCGGTTTTTATTAACAAAAAGAAAAAAAAAAACGATCATCTTCATAAATCAGTAAGTTTAGAATTTATATAAACATATGACCACCATGAAGGTTTATGTCAATAATTTTAGGGTTCTTTGTCATATTAATACAGCTCGTCCCAGGTGCCCTCACCGGTGTGGGTTCGAATCCCGACGGGGACATTGGATTCTTTAATGTGTGGAAGCTATCCAGCTAGGTTACTGAACGTTGGCGGTTCTACACAGATGCCCGTTCTTGCCCGAAATAATGCACGGAATGGCATCTGAGGTCTTCCTCCACCGGTAAAGCTAGAACGGCGACATAATGTCCTATACTGTGTCGGTGTGACGTAAAACCCAATAAAACAAACAATCGTCCCTTGTGTGTTTTACTCCGTTATGTTACCTAATAACAATGGTGATGTGATTACAAAAAACAACAACAACTTCTTTTAACATTTTAATTTCATTCTTTACACAAAATTATTCATCACTAACAGTAGTAATAGTGTCAATTAACATCATAACTTTACATCTTTAGTTTTTATTCATTACAAACAGTACACTGTAATAGTGTCAATTAACATCATAACTTTACATCTTTAGTTTTTATTCATTACAAACAGTACACTGTAATAATGTCAATTAACATCATAACTTTACATCTTTAGTTTTTATTCATTACAAACAGTACACTGTAATAATGTCATTTAACATCATATTTAACTTTACATCTTTAGTTTTTCATTCATTACAAACAGTACACTGTAATAATGTCATTTAACATCATATTTAACTTTACATCTTTAGTTTTTCTTCTTCTTCTTTAGTTTTTGACACCTGGAATATGTACAATATGTCATGATTAAAGTGAGAATTAGAGAAAAAAAAACAATGCACACAAAAAGTAAAAATAAAAACAACAAAAAAAACATACCCAAACCATATAGTCGTATATTCTTTTAAATTGCAAATTACATGCGACAGATATCTAATGAAGCACATCGAACCTATTTGTCAACACATTTAAATTCATTTTAAAGTTCAACAATATTTATACAAATATCATTTTAACATTAAGGGGAACTTCATTTCATGCACAGTTAAGTATGAAATTTACTTTAAATTATCTCAAAATGATTTATTAAGGATAAAGGTAAACATAAACAATTAATGAAAACATACACTCCACTCTCTCCAAGAGGTATTGTGATGTCACCAGATCCCACGCAAGTCAGGCGTTTCTTGCAAGGACAAGACTTGAACACGATACCGTCCGGTCGGCCAGAACCATTGTTTACAAGACACTCTGTAATAATATATAATAATCCATGAAATTGAAAGAGAAATTCATATATTTTACATATATATCGAGGGTTTGGTGTGAAACAGCTGTATTACATATTAAAGGAGTTACGTGCGTTTTCGCACTGATCCACCAATATACATTTTTATCTGTTTTATTTTTCGACAAACCTAATATAAAACATAGTGTATCGAACAAGTAAAAAAGCAATGGATATTTCACGCATGGCGACAAAATGTTCCATGTTAAATACTAATTGTTTAATTAAAATACTATTTGTTGAGCTCAAATGCTAATTGTTTAGTTCAAATACTAATTAAAATAATCACGTGGCTTTAGTGAAACCAATCAGGTCTGCTTTCTGGATCTAATCAGTATTGTTTAAAAAAAAAATAACAGTAGTATTCAAAGAAGTGTCCTTGGTTTGAAAATCAGACATATAGATCACCAGACCGATTTCAAACCTTTGCATAAATAATCACTATAAAAAAGCGTCTATCATTTTTGTTGGCCTCATCTAGGTCTGCGTCTCGTTTAAAACAAACTTCATAAAATGTGACTTACCAGTTCCTTTTTTTCCGAGCGGTTCACATTCACCTGGTGCATGGGCAAGGTCAGCGGAGCGTTTAGCTATTGGACGTGTTAAACTTACACAACATTCAAAACGGCCACAGTCATCGCTGGTGAAACATGGCTTTACACAGGTACCTAATGAAAGAAATCAGACAAATTCAATTCATCATTATAAATAGACCGTTCTCTACTATTTTATGAATTTTTTTTCCACGTTTTTTCCAACTTATGCCTAATCTGATATAACGCAAGCAATTGATAACTTCTGAACCTAATGTAACTTATATCTTATCTGATATAACGCAGGCAGCCGATAAAGATAACTTCAGAACCTAAAGTAACTTGAACCTAATCTGATATAACGCAAGCAATTAATAACTTAACTTCTGAACAGGCTATTGATGAAGAAGCGGGCACAATTAGATGTTCACTTTGTATATTATTGGTGTGAACGTACCTAGTTCTCCCAGAGGTATGTCGTAACGTCCGTTAAGCCCGTCTGAACAAGGGCATGACAGGAAGTAGATGTCTTTTACTAGAGAAGAGAAGTCTCTGACTAGACATTCTGTAATTAAAAATCAAAACGTAGTTATGATACTATATCTACAACTAGTTTCCTTAATGCATATTTTCCTAAATGGCTGAAATTTATAATTTTTAAATGGAAATGTTAGTTTGAATTTTACCGAAATAGGAGGTGTCACCTTAAATATACTTTAATTCGAGGTGAAACTTAAAAAAATCTAAAAAAAAATAGGTGTTATATCAAATTTACTTTAATGTGTGTTCAATCAAAACAATGCTATGAAACAAATACAAAACAAGGAGAAATATACCTCGATTTTTTTTTCGCAGTTTGCAAAGTGATGTAGGAATAGTTTTGCAAATAACTCACAAAGAAGTAAACTTTGACATCGAACAGTGTTTTGAGTAGCTACAAGGATGTTATGTGAAAATCTGCTGTTCTTTGAGTCTGCCAACGGCAACTGAACTTATCCATACGACCAATGCAGACCGTGCAACCGTGCCGTTTTATCATGGTTTGGCCTGCTAACGGTAACGGACTTGTATTATCCACGAGACCAGTGTAGATCAATATATCAGCCGACACAACCGTGCCGTTTTATCATGATTTGGCCTGCTAACGGCGACGGACTTGTATTATCCGAGCGACCAGTGTAGACCAATATCAGCCGACACAGCTGTGCTGTCTGATCGTGACATGTATTATTTTCTATTCTGTTAGTGCTTATTTGCAAATGTAACCCAAAATTGTGGATGGTTTTGTCCAGATTGGAAAATTGGACAAATCCCATTAAGATTTTAAGCATGTTAGGGGTTAATATATTCATTTGTAAGAATTACTTATTTGTATATTTGCAGCTATACATTGTATGGTTTTTTGTAGAACCAACGCTGTTATATGATGTAACTGTCAAGTTTTATTGATGCAGACCCTCATTGTGCTTTCAAGATTTATCTAATGAATGATTTTTTTTATATCTTTGAACAAAAATTAATTTATTGAAAAGAAAAATGTTGGATATGTTGGATAAAGGGTAAATTCAATGGATAAATATAATAATTAAGAAAAATTACTATTACAAAAAATGTAATAGAGATCGAACCTGATCCAGTTTCGCCGCGCGGCATACATTTTCCATTCACATATTTTTTGAGATCGTCGGAAATATCACGTTTACCAATTGGTCTGGTAAAGCTGACACAACATTGTTTTTTCTTACAGTGTGCATTGGTGTTACAGTAACCTTTCAATGCTCCACGTCCAGGAGTGGGTACAGTCTGTGAAAACAAGCAATAATTAAAAAAGTAATAAATACCCCCCCCCCCAAAAAAAAAAACAACACACAAAAAAAAAACAAGAAAAAAAAACAACACACAAAAAAAAACAAGGAAAACACACACACACACACACACACACACACACACACGCACACACACACACACTTACACACACACAAACAAGACATAATAAAACAAAAACAATACAGCAACATCAACAAACACAACACACGGTGCGGTATGTTTTTACGTCATCACGGCTTTGATTGTACTCCACAGAAATTTATATATACATGTATTTACATTTTATGCATCTTTTAAGTTTAGAAAAGTGAATTGTTCATTTATTAAGTTTACATAAACTGCAAAATTTAATTTTCATATCATTTACATTCTTAACTGTTGTTCAAAGTAAATTATAAGAATTAACACTAACTCTATATTAAATTTTACAGATTAATTACATTTGTTAAAATTTAATTGATATTTAAAAAGAAGATAATGTAAAAAAATAACTTACTTCAATAGTACTTAAGTATAGAGCACAAATAATTATCACAACCTTCCACATTATATCTATCTAATAAAGATATGTAAATAAAAAATACGTTGTGTATATATTCATATGCAAATATACAATATTCATATGAAAGAATGTTGTATCTAGACTATAATCCGATCATCTTTTGTTCTCCGGTCGTAGGACAGGGCGGACCGTAAGACAGGACAAACCGTACAAGGGCGTACCGTATGTTTGGACAGGGGGGGCCGTATTTTGGGACAAGGCGGACCGTGACTCGAGACGATGCGGACCATGCATATTTTTAAATTTAATCTTGCTATTTCATTTTTAGCTCGACTTTTCTATGAAAAGGGGAGCTATCCTACTCGCCCCGTCGTCGGCGTCGGCGTCGGCGTTAGCGTTAGCGTTGGCGTCACACCTTGGTTAAGTTTTTCGTACCACCCCACTTTATTTCAGAAGTATTACAAGTATGGCTTTGAAACTTACCATACTTGTTCACCATCATAACCTCCATCTACAGACAAGAGTACATAACTCTGTCAAGGTTTTTGACAGAATTATGGCCCTTTTTTGACTTAGAAAGTGTATTGAGCTTGGTTAAGTTTTTTGTACCACCTCACTTTATTTCAAAACCATTGGAGGTATTGCTTTGAAACTGACCATACTTGTTTACCATCACGACCTTCATCAACAGACAAGAGGACATAACTCTGTCAAGGTTTTTGACAGAATTATGCCCCTTTTTGACTTAGAAAATACATTGAATATGGGTAAAATCCACTTATTGCCTTAACCCTTTGAGATATTGCTTTGAAACTTTTAATGCTATTTCACATCATTACCCCCATCTGTACGCAAGAGAAGGTAACTCTGTCAAGGATTTGTTTTAAAAATTAAGGCCTTTTATCGACTTAGAATCTTGGTTAAGTTTTTAGTACCACCTCACTTTATTTCAAAACCATTGGAGGTATTGCTTTGAAACTGACCATACTTGTTTACCATCACGACCTTCATCAACAGACAAGAGGACATAACTCTGTCAAGGTTTTTGACAGAATTATGCCCCTTTTTGACTTAGAAAATACATTGAATATGGGTAAAATCCACTTATTGCCTTAACCCTTTGAGATATTGCTTTGAAACTTTTAATGCTATTTCACATCATTACCCCCATCTGTACGCAAGAGAAGGTAACTCTGTCAAGGATTTGTTTTAAAAATTAAGGCCTTTTATCGACTTAGAATCTTGGTTAAGTTTTTAGTACCAGTCCACTTTTTGACTGAACTGTTTGAGATATTAATTTGAAAGTTGGAATACTTGTTTACAATCATGATTCCCAAACATGTCCAGGAGAAGGTAATTCTGTCAAAGATTTTATTTGAATTATGGCCCTTAACTGTCAATGTTTTGTATTATAGGCAAGCACTAAAAAACTTAAAAAATCTAAAAAAATTCATTCCTATCCACTGAACCTGCAGTGTTCAAGGGTATCACACAATTCAGTAAAATAATTCTTCACTAAATATCTTAATGCTCATGGCCATTGTTCACTTTAAAAATACAGAGATTCTTGTATTGCCTTTTACTGCAAAAACTTTTTTTATTGGCAAGCAATAAAAAAGTCGAGCGCGCTGTCTTACGGACAGCTCTTGTTTTTAATCTTTTGATATCAATATCATCCTAAATATGTTTTAAATTCAAGGATTTTCATATTGAACAGATTTATATTTCAAAATTTAAACAATGATCTAGTTGAATATATATAAATTTATCATGTGCACACGACATAAGGTGGACTATTGATTAATATAATTTTATATTTATAATTATTATTAACGCTGACTCATACAATTATAAGTATTAAATAGGTACTTATGTAGCGTAAGCTAGTGGGAATGGATTGAGAAAGTCTCATATGCAAAACATATTTTTCTCTTGTGCTGATGTTAATAAACTTGACAAAATTACCTTAAGTACTATATATTTTTATATATACCATTCATATCATTTAAGCTTTATTGAGGAATATTGATTATTTATATTACTATTTATTAGTTAATTACAATAAACTTATGAAAACAAAGGAATAATTAATATACTAGTACAATGAATACATGTATATTAATTTGCTAAACAGACAGCATCTGAATTTAGACATAGCACACAACCATTTCTGATATAAACTAACTCGTCAAAGAATCAAAATTGAGGAGCAGTCAACGCAAGTCAACAAGGAGCGTGCAGTCAAAACTTATGAAAATATGAATAGAATATTCATATAAAACAAGCATTTTCCACGAAGAAATTCCTTGATAGCTGTACGTGCAAGTCTTAACTTTATGGCCCTGGCCATGTGTGTATATATGTGAATATCATGTGTTAATGTATGAACATATGTTAAAATGTAAATATAGATATACACATGCGGTTTTTAATTGCTTTTGTATATATATTTGTCATTACGTTTTTGTTTATCTGTAAATAAAGCTTGCCATGTAAATTTTGTTCATTTATTTTCTTTAAACGTTTTTACGTTATTGTGTTGTATTGTGTTTCAAATGTCAGATGGGAATAACAAGTATTTTCTGTATAATATTGTTCAATAAAGATATTTGTTTAAGCAATTCAATTCAATATTTTATTTACAATAATCAGTATACAAAATGCCTTTGACAAACTACAGTTTATATAAATCACACAAGCATCAAATGACATATAATTGTTACATATCTGTTACATCATTACAAAGCTGATGTGGAGAAACAGCAAAGAATATGACATCTTTTCAAAAATGCTTTATTTAAAAATTTCGATACATTCAGTAAAGTTGATTGACATTAAACTATAAAATTTAGATAAAGATGATCATGTTTTTGGAAAATATTTCATGCGAATTTCAGAATAATATGTACAGATTAAAAGAAAATGATATTCACCTTCAACAACACGCATTGTACAATGTTCACACAATCTATCCTGTCTATCTATACCTCGATAAAAAAAACGGCCGGTTTCTACAACTAGATTATGACTGCTTAAAACAATTTTGTTAATTTGTCAGTTTTAATCATCTGATTAAAATACAGTTTAAGCGTTGCCGTTTTATTATTTAACAAATATTGACATGTAATATCCCAATAATTGGTCAATTACCATCTGCAT